GACTTAGACAAATTAAAAGTCTTCTTAAGCCTCCAATTTTTGTCTTTCCAATAGATTATCATCAGCAAAATCTACATGTTTTTCCTGTTTTTAACGAATAATCTTTTTAAAATATAAACAATGACAGAAACGTTGCCACGCTATAACAGTACACTAGTGACGTATTCTAAAGCCCTTTCATTTTCTACTTTTCGTTTTTTCTTTCCTCCTATCTGTCCCTGGTGGACGACATACTTGATCAGCTCTAGAAGAGCAAGTTCTGAACTAAACTCCAGAAAAAAAAAGAAACACTGGCCTAAATATGTCTACTCCTGTTTCCCTAGAGTCCCTCGCTTCTCTAGTGGCTCCTAGAATATCTAAAAATAGGATGGGAGGCAGATCTTTTAGCTATCAGGCTCCTTTCTTGTGGAACCAGCTCCCATTTTTAGACCGTGAGGCAGACACCTTGTGTAGTTTTAAGACTAGTGGGGGAGTAGAGGGAGGTGGAGTGTACAGTGGAGAATACAGTCGGTAAGGACGGCTCTCCCTTGCCCTGCCTCCAACTAAAAGGCTAGGTTATCCAGTTATCTCTGTAGTTATGCTGCTATAGGCTTAGACACACTCTACTACTTTCTTCTCCTTTCTCTCTAATTCCATTATTTCCTGCTATTTCAGCTGCTAACTTTATTTCCCCTCTAAGTGTTTTTCTCCCCAGAAGAAGCTACAATGATTTTCTGCTGAGCTGTGGTAGCCTCATCAGCTTGAACACTGCTGCTAACAACTCAAACATTCTCCCTCTCCTGATAATAACATTTTTCTTTCTTTGACATAAAATGTGCTACTACTAGTTTACCTGCTGAATTAAATATAGATTCACTAAGATAACGACAATAAAGTTTGACTCTTACTAAATAGAACATTTACTAAGAAATCACAATGGAGCCATAGAAAGACTTGGTATATGTAAGGTTTCTTCCATTTAAAAGGGAGTTTTCCTCTCCACTGTCGCTGCATCCTTGCTTAGTATGAGGATTGCTGTAAAGACACCGGCACTAGTCAGTGACTCGATGCAACCTGCTGGGTTCCTTATATAGGAAACATTTCACTAATTGGCTTAATGAACTGATTTGTAATTGGAACGTTTACTTTGTGAAGTGCCTTGAGACGACTCTTATCGTGATTTGGCGTTATACAAATAAACTGAATTGAATTTAATCAGAAACCTCAGATCAAACCGGCTCAGGGTGGAAATCTTTTGAAAATGTTGATTTTAGCAGTTAATCCATTTGCAGGCATCTTGTTCCTTGTAGACCTATGATGACCAAAACCACATATTCACAATATGAACCTCCAAAATGTATGTCTGAGTAAGTAAATGTGCCATTATCGTTGTTATTCACTTAATTTCTTTGTTATTTTTCTTTTTTATATTTAGTTTCTCTCTGCCTGTCCACTGTTGGAGCTGGAATGGATAAACTCAGTAAAGTTAAATACAAAACAGGAGTAGACTCCCAGATCCAATTTTCTGCCTGCCTGAGCTGTCAGAACTTTAAAACTGTTTTAATTTTAAACATCTCCAGAATGATGTTTTGCTGGTTTTCTAATGTTGTGAGTAAAGGGGCAGTCCTTGTCATTTGTGCATAAAGCAGCTTAATATTTTCCCTCTGTGCTGGACTTGACATGTAGTCAACAATGAATCCAATTCCAGAGAAATGTCTGCTGGGAATAATATAATTCTGTTAAAGTCTTCCCAATATTGTGCCTGTATAATTTTCCTGGTTTGGAGATTAAAACTATCTGCCTTCCCACTTTTCATTAACGAAGTGAAAGACTTTGAGATTCCCACTTTTAAAAATGCAAAGAACATTAAACTCCCTTTTTAAAAGATGGATATTATAGAATTTCACCCTTCATTTATTTTGATTTGATGAGTTGAACTGTTTTAGAAAATCCTGGCCCTTCATTTTCAGCCTTGCTTATACTTCCAGTTCACTCAAGAGTAGATTTGGTCTCCTCTCAGCAGATCTGAAGCTGAACAGACAACAAACCTGCAGCCACAGCAAACAACACACACACACACACACACACACACACACACACACACACACACACACACACACACACACACACACACACACACACACACACACACACACACACACACACACACACACACGCACATTTATCTACTGCCACCGCCCAGTCCTGCCCTTGAGTCCTTTGAGTCTCCTGTTGGCCGTTAGTTAGTCTGAGATCTTTTTAGAACCGTGAGCTCAGAGATAAGGAGGAAGTGGCTGTGTGCATGCTCGCTGACGGCTGTTAATCAGCCGTTACACAGATGTGGGAAATATCTCAAGGTGGCTGTTCCTGCATCAGGATCTGCTCTGTGTCAGCAGGCAGACAGACCAGACAGCTCCAACGTGTGAAGGATCTTAGTTCATCCACTCTCAAAAGACTCAGTGAAAAGATGCAGACTCTCTAATGGAGGAAATTCGTCAGCTCTTTTATTGGCCCTAAGTGAATCCAGTAGTCACATCATGTGATGCTGGACTGTGAGAAACTCACAATCTGCTTTCTAACTGCCTCTCTCTCTCTCTCTCTCTCTCTCTCTCTCTCTCTCTCTCTCTCTCTCTCTCTCTCTCTCTCTCTCTCTCTGTCTCTCTCTCTCTCTCTCTGTCTCTCTCTCTCTCTCTGTATGCCTAATTTGTTGTGAAGCCAGCCAGCCTCCTAAGTGGAAAGCTGATCCAGCCCATCCACGTTTCAGCATCTTCTTTTCCCTTACTAATTCCTACCAGTCTGAAAGGGGGCATTGTGATCTAACTGAATGCTGCCTGCTCCTCGAACGGAAAAGGGAGGAAAGGAAGTGGGAGTGCATTTGCTCCAGAGGACTGCTCTACCACTTGGCCAACAAAATATTTCCCGCCTGTTTTCTCCTGGCTATGGCAGACATGCTGCTTTCCTGCTTGACTCTAAAAAAAACAAAGAGCACATAAAATAACATTACATGACAAGTTATTTAAGAAAAAATGCCTAATATGAACCAAATAGCAATATCTGAGCATGTAAATAAAAGCCCTCTGCTAAAAATAGTTAAATATCTCTAAAATATTAAAATTCTATTAAATCACAAGTAAAATATTAGATTATTGCTAAAACAAAACTTTGCTAAATGGCTAATCTGAGACTGAGCACTTTCTATAGGATTTCCTCCAGGATTTAGACGTTTTGCTTCTTTCTTCTCAAGAGGTTATCACCCTTAAACACTAAAACAGATATCTGATAAATGTAGTGGCATGTTAGTAAATAAGGCGCCTGAAATTATTTAAATGTTGATTAGTGAAATGTTGCCATTTCATCTCCCACATGAAGATGAATGACTTTAACATGCAGCAACTGATATTTCTTTTTTCAGAAAGCGATAATATTAAAGGACACTCCTACAACACATCCAATCACTCATATTGTGTTATCAGTAAAAAGCAAATTTACAGTCTATTTCTTTAAAATAACTCAAGAACCACTAAAGAGACAATGTGTAATTTTTACTATTAATCTCTGGAAATATCCGTCAAAATGTTGTTGAAAATTATTTAAATGAGTTGTGGTTGAAAAATTTTAGCGGCTTAATAACATATTACCATAAACCAGGTCTAAAATACATAGGAGAGGGTCTAAGGGTGCTTGTCAATGTCAAGGCACCTGCCATGTCACGTGACACATAAGGCAAATTTATATTTTATACATATAAGTATAACGAGTCTTTTAGTTTTTATTTGTGTGTATATTTGTTAAATAAATATGTAAGTGACTTACTACCTGCTAGCCACTGAAGCTGCAACTACTAAGCAGCTAACCAACCACAGACCTGCTTTGGATCTAAAAAGCATTTTAGATATTAGACCCGATAGCTACAATTATTTAATTTATATTTAAACTGGAAATTTGCCCTAGAAGTAGCTGCTGGCTCCTGATCCGCCATCTTTTTGAAAATATCGCAATGTATGCTGGGAATTTTTTTGACTGAGGCCAAGCGACAAGACACCTCCCATGTATCCTTGGTCAGCTAGCTAAATGGCTAACAAACAGAGAACAGACACCTTTGTAGCACATGAACATTGGAACACGCCTTGGCGGTTCCTGATTACTTATATCCTAGGGAACCGGGGTGAGACCAAAGCGAGGCTCTTGACATTGAGAAACACCATTTGTCTTTGGGCGATGCCATGTTAGACACAATGTTTTCTTCTAGGGAAGCCTATGAGGACAAAATGCATTTACTGATTTGTGACCAGTGCTTACAAAACTTTTGCCATTCATGAACGTTGTTTTACACATTTACCTCTTTGCTCGTAAGTGATGAAATTGAGTCTGATGTGCATCATTTTGCTGGAGATTGAATGATCAGAAATGGTATTCGTTTGAAAATTGCACTCCCAGGGATTTTTAACCCTAATGGCCATCTGTTGGTATGGTATAACTTGAACACAAAAATACTGCTTGCTTGTAGTGATTTAGGTATGTACTGCTCCCAATCACTGGGGAAAATACACACAGTCACTTTAATCGTGCTACATTTTAAAAGTCAGAACTCTGAGCAAAATGTTTGTAAAAAGGTCAGAATAAATGATAAGATTAAGTGTGTAACAGAAAATTATGATAAATTTAGATTATTGCATACTTTTTAGATAGAAAAATATATTAAAAAATGTACCTTAATCTGGTAATCTTCAGTCAAAAATTTCTAGTTAAATATTTACATCTATAACTCATTTTTGCTGGGAATTTTTTAATAAGCAGCAAACTAATTAAATCATTATTTATATCTGTGTGTGTGTGTGTGTGTGTGTGTGTGTGTGTGTGTGTGTGTGTGTGTGTGTGTGTGTGTGTGTGTGTGTGTGTGTGTGTGGGAGAGAGAGAGAGAGAGAGAGAGAGAGAGAGAGAGAGAGAGAGAGAGAGAGAGAGAGAGAGAGAGAGAGAGAGAGAGAGAATATCAGCCATTATCTTTTCTATGCAATGTGGCAACATTTCCTACAGTCCATGAAGTAGTCATGACGCGTTTAGAAGCAGGGGGCGTGGCCATGTAAACGAGGACTCGTGGTGGGCTGAATAGATGCTCCAGCTCCTGAGCGGCGGGACACTTGCTGTGGAGAAAAGAGCCGGAGCGGGCAGACAAAACACGTTCACCCGACCCACATCGCTCCAGCATGGCTTCAAAGTGTCCCAAGTGCGAGAAGACGGTTTATTTCGGTAAGTAGCATCCTCTTTGTGCGCTGCGTTTAGTTAAAACGACTTTTAGCTGACGGAGATCTTCGCTCGTTAAGCAGTTGATATGGTTTAATTAACATAAGTAAATAAACAATTTTTAAGGTGTTATTTTTAATGGAGGAAAAATTTCATCCTCTATGTATTTTAAAGAGGGCAGTAACATTTTTCATTTGAATACCTGACATTAGTTGTTGGAATAATGTGTATTTTGTGAAAAACTACCCTGGTTTTCCAAAGGAATTTCTCACATACTTCCAAACATTCCTTGGAATTTGCCTTTTTTTTTTTAGACAAGAGTCCTTTGGAAGGTGAATAATTCACATGGGCCACCTGTGAGAAGCCTAGAAAGAGCCCAGAGAGTTAATAAATAAGCAAAAAAAAGTAAACAAAAGATCAGAACAAATTTTATGAATCAAATAGTTTTCTTTAGAGAAAAATGTGTTTGGTTATCCTATTCTATCCTCGGTTTGTGCTGCTAGATTAATGATTTATCTTAGTTTTTTCTGTAAAGTGACCTTGGGTGTCCTGAAAGGCGCTTTGAAATAAAATGTATTATTATTATTATTATTATTATTATTATTAGTTTGACACCAAACTGTGCCATTTTTAATTTGTTGTGTTTGGTAAACATCCAAGCTTGACAGTTGGCTTTGGTGAGTAGCTGATGGAGGTCCTTGCCAGGAGCAGGAGCCCCATATGCTGAGACCGTCCACTGACAGAGGAGCGCAACAACATCCTGCTGCGCCAGAGACACGAAAAGCTGCAAAGTCAAATATTTTGCATCTTTATTTATTAAGAAAAAACTGACAAAAATGAAAGCACCCACATGGTCATAGCGACACTTTATAAGTTACAGCAGATGTTTACGGTTTAAGATTTGCTCAAAATTGAGGGCAAAGCACAGGATTAAAGGATCTCATCTTGAGCGTAAACATGAATTTATACACATTCTGTTTTGCAGCTGAACCTTTAGTAGTCTAGTGTTTGTTGTCACGTGCTGGAAAACATAAATACTCACCTCAGAGCTTTTCACGCAGTTCAAAACCAAATTATGTGAGTGGATGCAAGTCTTATGTAACAGCAGCAGCAGCATGCATCCCAGCTGCTGCTCATCCTGTGGGTCCCAGGAGTAATATATCTACAAATAAGATTTATTTACTAAAATTAAACACAATGAGCTTTTATTTTGCTCCTTACGCCCATCCTGGAGGAGTTTATTTTCGTTTTGGGTGTGTGTCACTGGGTGGGGAGTGCTCTGGACGGAGGCAGTGATGAATTTGATGAAGGTGTGTTAAAATTAGCAGCAGCGAGAGGAGAGGAGGCCTTGGTGACAATATTGGTCATCTGGAGGGAGGCTGTGGATGTGAGGGAGTATTGTTCATCATGATGTTTAATGACGGCTAAGGATTGTAAAATGAGCTCAGCTGCTCCACCTACGCACGCCCTCCTCTCAGTCTCAGAGATGTGAGAAATCCAGAGCTGAAGGGAAATTTTCAGGTCTGCAGAAAGCAGACACGAGCTAAACCTGATCTAAATGGGGACATGTGTTATTGCTAGAGGAAATTGTTGATTTCCTCTCTTATTTAGCTCTTTTGCTTTCTGTTTTGCAGTGGCGGTTCAGGGAGGGCTATTTAGAGCCTGTCCCGCAAATCCCGCCTGGTCCTCCAGCTGGTCCACCGTTATTGGAATCTCTTTGTGGAGCACGGGGCGTTCGGTGGTAGACCTAACTTTTTAATCTACTAACAAATGTTTTATCAGAAGGTGGCGGTGAGCCACAGTTTGGATGGGAATCATCCTGATTTTACAGAAGTGTTTTTGGGATCGGTTTTCCGTTGCTGCTTTATTGGAAAGGGAAGCGGTGACAGCTTCGTTTTATTGCCAATAAAGGGAAAATGTTGCTTCTGGTTTTGAAGGTTCAGATTGGTGTGTATTTTAAGAAACCAAATAAACAGCAGCAAAGGGAAAAAATGGAAATCCATGGTTGGCTCTGGTATTAAAAGAATGTGAACATCAGGGTTGCTCTACGAGTGTACGGTTGGTCAGATTCCCAGCATCCACATCGTGGCCCCGCATCTGTCGTGGTGCAGAGAGGCTTATAATACCCAGGGGACTGTTGGCTGACGCGTGACCAGCAGAAATCCATGAGTCCATGCAGAACACGCCTCAGCATGGTTAAATATATCTCCAACTCCAAACCACCAGACTCATCTAAGTTCTGTAGACGAAAAGCAGAAGCAATGCTCCTTTTTCAATAAGTGAATAAATGAGGAGCTAATGGGACCTAATGCTGCTCTCCTGTGAGTAACTTTTTTTTATTCCTCTGACTCTCTTGGTGGTAGCCCAGACCACGAGTTCCTCCTTATGTTTTTTTCCTCCCTAACTGCACGGATTGGGGGAAACGGGGTGAGCTGGCTCGTCTTTATTTAAAACGAGGCTCTTCATGCGACATGGCTATTCACAGAAGGCTCTCTCGCTCTCTTAGCACGTTTGTGTTTTAGTGAGACAGGCTACCTTCGACCCCCTCAGTCCGGCGGCATGGGCCAGCGTTCCATTTCCCACACACCTCTTCTTTTTTTAATCCTGCTTTTATCCCAAAACATCCACACAATGCCCTCACTTCTCCTCCAGTGTTCGAGCACCCTGTTTTCCACTTGGCTGCTCGGTGTGCTGCTGTGTGAATGTGCCTTGTCAGTTATATAACATCACTTCTTGAGTTTGCTCCCTCCTGCTCGGTGACGTTGCATAACCCACCGGCTCCTGTGTGCCACTCAGCCAGGCTCCCTTTTTTCTGCTTTTCTGAGGCACAAATATGATCCCCCTAATGGAGATGGCATTAAGAGAGGTGCTGACAACTCCCCCGTTCCCACCGCCTCACACACAGGTGAAGCCACACAGCACTCAGACCTGTTATATAACAGCACAAAGGAACAGAGTTCATTATTCATCCAAAAAGACACAATTCTGTTTTGTGTCCTGCTATGGAGTCCTCTGAAGCTACCAGCTACATAGCTTCACAGCTTTGTACTACAAGTTTAAAACAGAATTTTTTATTATCCATCATCTCAATGAAGCGCTTTTATGTCACACTTTGGACAAAATTAGGTTTTTTTTTTTGCTTATAAAAATTAAGTTTTATACATGTTTATGCTATTTCATGTTCACATTATGATCCAAATCCTTCTCCAAAAGGTGCGCAGGTGCAAGTATTTCTATAATTTAGCTCTACAAATAATGCCTATATCTTATTATTAAATGGGTGTAATCAGCGGTTGCTCAATTGTGCGAAAATATATGGTAAGTATGATTATTTTGGTTAACATTTACCATGATTACTCATCAAGTTGGTAAATGCTACAAATATTTCTCCTTTTCTGGCTGGCTTAACCAGGATGGACATGCTGCCGTCAGCTTTTTAAAAATAATATCAAATACGCTACATTGCTCATAATAACTTTTAAAAAATTATTTCTTATTTAGTCGTACTTTTGAAAAAAACTTTATATTTTTATTGCCAATAGGCGTTGTCTTGAGAGCAGAAAGCTTTCCTAGACAACATTTGTGCAGATTCTCAGTAGTCCAGGGTGAAATGTCTTCAAGGAATACAAGACAAGTCCAGTTATTTTCTCACTGAACCTTCAAGATTTTCTAACAATCATTTTCTGGTTATTTAAACACCAAGTTCACTAAGAAACCATATTTTCACTTTTTATTTTTGAAATATGATTCATCAGTTTCACTTGCTGTCTAAATGTGAAAAGGGTTTTCTACCCCTATTTCCTGCATTAGCCGTCAATAGAAAATAGACATGGACATGTTCAGATGGGCCCTGTTCCGTGCCTCCATTGTTGAGGTGGCTGCCCAGAGTCGTGGCCGCAGGGTCATCGGCGCCTGTTGTGGCGGCAACCCCCGAACCCGCTGATGGACACCGGCGGTTAGGGATGCTGTCAAGCTGAAGAAAAAGTCCTATCAGGTTTTGTTGACCTGAAGGACTCCAGAGGCAGCTGATAGGTACCAGCAGTCCAAGCGGAATGCGGCTCGGGTGGTCACGGAGGCAAAAAACCAGGCATGGAATGTAGCAAGACATCCACACAGCTTCGAGGAATTCTGGTCCACCATCCAGCGCCTCAGAAGGGGAAGCAGTGTGCTACCAACACTGTTTATATTGTGGATGATGTGCTGCTGACCTCGACTCGGGACATTGTGGATCAGTTGGCGGAGTACTTTAAAGACCTCCTCAATCCCATCGGCACTTCGTCCAGTGAGGAAGCAGAATCCAGGGACTATTGGTTGGACTCTCCAATCACTGGGGCTGAAGTCACTGAAGTTGTCAAAAGGCTCCGGGGGTGGATGAGATCCACCTAGAGCACCTTGAGGCTCTGTATATCGTAGGGCTGTGTTGGATGACACGGCTCTGCAATATCGAGTGGACATCAGGGGCAGTTCCACTGAACTGACAGACTGGGGTGGAGTTCCCCCTATTTAAAAAGGGGGACCGGCAGTAAGTTTAGCTTTTTTCCAGTGAGAGTTGGACTCCGCCAAGGCTGCCCTTTGTCACCGATTGTGTTCATACTTTTATGGACAGAATTTCTAGGCACAGCTAAGGCGTTGAGGGGATCAGATTTGGTGGCCTAAGGATCGAGTCCCTGCTTTTTGCAGATGATGTGGTCCTTTTGGCGTCATCAGAACGTGATCTTCGGCTTTCGCTGGAGCTTTTCACAGCCGAGTGTGAAGTGGCTGGGATGAGAATCAGCTCTTCTAAATCCGAGTCCATGGTCTTGAGTCGGAAAATGTTAGAATGCCTTCTCCAGGTCAGGGATGAGGTCCTATCCCACGTGGAGGAGTTTAAGTATCTCCGGGTCTTGTTCACAAGTGAGGGACATCTGGAGCACAAGATCGACAGGCGTATTGGTGCTACTTCTGCAGTGATGCGGGCATTGTACTAATCTCTTATGGTGAAGAGAGAACTGAGCCAGAAGGCGATC